TATGAAAATTACTGTCTCTAAGGCAGTGGTTCTGTCTTGTAGATTCAAGGCACCCCTTGGAAAATGCCAACTCTTAATCTTTGCTTATTTTTTGATTACAGAGTAATAATAGGGTAAGTCTTTTGTTGCAAAGAATTCAGTAAGACCACAAAAGTTACAAAGACCACAATACATTTTTTAACACTGTGGATTCCCATTTAAAATATCTGGAGAGAAACTAAAGAGGGAAGATCTTTTCAAAGAGTTTTATCTTCTGAATCATTTCCATGCCTAACAGTGCTAACATTGCATGGCACCCTTGAAAGAATCTCAAGGCACCCCAGGGTGCCATGGCATCCTGGTTGGGAATCACTGCTCTAAAGCCACAGATAAGTTCCTCAAAGAGTGTGCACTAACTTTTGTGTGCTGCTAGATTGGTTCTTCCTAGCCTCTTCCATCTGCTGCCTTTGCTCACATATCCTTTAGAGCAGCCAGGGAGTTGCTTGGCTAGAAAAAATTTTCTCTGAGCCTTGCTGCCCCAGTAGTGACCTCTTAGGGTGTGTGCAATGGAGCAGAGAGCTTATAGCTTGTTACTTCCCTGCTGCCCACTCATTTACAGCTAGCAACCAGAACAGCCATTGCACCCGGTAAGTGCAGTAATTTAGCTGGTCCCTTGCAGCATTTGAAAGGACAGACAAAAGCAGGCCAGAAGCTGTTTCTCTTTCCTCCAGGGAGCCCGGGGTGGAGCAACTGAATTTTATTCCCCTGCTCAGCCTACTTAGCTGTGGAACAAATATCCTTTACTAAAGTTTCACTGCATGCTCTTACCTTAAGGGGAAGGGGTCAGAGACCTCAGTGGTGGACCCACCTGCAAAGAGGCAACTGTCAGCCTTGGGTCCCCCTTTAGGTAGGTCTTCCAGGAGAGGGAGCAAGCAAGCTATCTTATGAAAAGAGATTCCCTCCTTAGCTGCCCCTGAGTGGGATGTAGAGGGTGTGGCATGAGATTGTGGTGCATGATGTACCTATGAAATGATTATGTGAAGTTTTTTTGTCTTCCATGCACTGTAGTTTGTGTCTCATGTGCAACTCTCCCTGTGCCTGAGTCTGTTTTTGTGTTGTGTTGTGTCGCATTGACATGGGGGCTGTAAAATAACCCAAGGACTATCCTATGCATAAGGTCCTATCCTGCCACTCCCCACCCTTCTTGTGTAGGGAGTGAATTAGAAGTGGGGAAGAAAGCAGCTAACGCCCTCTGTTCTGCCTCAGTTTCTGTTTCCCTGGGAAACGGGAAGTAAAACATAACTTAGAGCAGTCATAAAGTTGCTCTGATTTGTGCTGGCAATCTCTGGAAAGCCCTAGTTCTACACTACCTTGTGTTGCCTCTAAAGCTTTCTTTCATAAACCTGTCACTGTCCAGAGATATTTCTGTGAAGAATGCAGGCCTAAGGCAGCATTGCTGGAGTAGAAATAAGTGCCGATAATGATGACACAGAATCTGGTCACTTCCAAGTCCTGAGATCAGCACCTATATTGTCCCCTGAGCTCCAGTGTCAGTAGTGCTCATTGTGCCCTCTCAGGGACACTTTCTTGCCTTGTTCTCTCAGGGCAGGATTCTGCAGTCCTCTACTGTCAGTACAGCTACTCTACTCCATCACACTTGTGGTGCCAGTGATCTGGCAAACCTATTAAGCCTCATCAGGACTCTGACACATTTCTTAAGTAGCATTTGTGCCTCAAAGGAACTGTCCCAAGGTTATCTTTGCCCAACCAGTCAATCTGATATTTCTAGTTCAACTCATAGTAATTATTCACTCTTTTGCCCTCCAGCTTGGCTAAATGAATCTATTAAACTTAATTGGCTTCTAGTTTCCACCTTCAATCTAGCCTCTTGCAAAAAATTGTCAGAAGTTTAATTGTGAAGACCACCTTTTTAAAAAAAAAATCTTAATATCTAAGCAACTTGTTTTGATTTGCTTCAACTGTGGGAAAATTCTCCATTGATTGAAAATGGGAATATTCACAATTACATTTGACAGAGTTAAAAAAATGAAACTCTTATGCTATAGGGCAAAAGCTGCTCTATCTGATGAAGGGGAGGTGGAAATTCCCCTTGGAAGCTAGTTCTTTGATTGTTCACTACATTGCTTGTGTACTTGAGAGGAAGTTGTAATGTTGGCCAGTGGACCTGTTTTGGCACTGCTCTGTTCCTATTACCCTGTGAAGCAGAAGGCAGGCCAGGGCAACACATTAGAGCAGTGGTTTTAACCTTGTTGGACTCAAGGCACTCCTTAGAAAATGCCAGCTCTTAGCTTGTACTTGTTTTTTTACTATGGAAAAATAATAGAGCAGTTCTATTGCAAAGAACTTGGGGCCTTGTTACACAGTAATTTGGGGTGGCTCCTGTAGCTCTTAACCTCTGGATTGTCTGTACAGTAACACCTTAAAGTGATTTAAAGCAGCATTTTCTCAACCCATGGGTTGCAAGAGTATGTGAAAGGGCTGTGAACAAACTTTAAAAATGGAATCTTCTTAAAGGAGAAAAATGTGGGAAACTGGCTTTTTCCTTGCAGGCTGGCAGACTTCCAGCCTTCAAGGGGCTGCTTGGGGCCCTCCATGCCACACACACCCACCGCCTGCCCCACACACTGTGGAGCTAGGGCCTGGGGGCAGGGGGGGCAGTGGGTCAAGAGTGAGAGCAGTGGATAGGGAGGGACTGGCCATCAATGTTTAAAAATGGGTCCTGGTACAAAAAAGGTTGAGAACCACTGGTTTAAAACACTTATGTGGCTCAAAGTTGTGCCTCTCCAGGGCAGGATTATCTCTTGATCTGCACAACCCAGCTCCTGTTCCATTATGGTGTGGCCACTTCCCACAGTTGTGCCACTCAGCTTAAAAGGTGTGACTACTCCACTTTTACTAATCCCAGGAACATTTGTGAGGCTCGCAGCACAATGTGCAACAAGGCCCTCCAAAAGACTTCAATGGGGCAGAGTGGTTTTGACAGTACGGATTCCTGTTAGAAATTTCTGGGTTTGTCCTGTGAATCATGTATGCGTGTTTGCACAACTAACTGTTAATTTTGCGCACTACCCCCAGAAAGATCCCACAGCACATCTCAGTGCCATAGCATCCTGATTACAAATCACTGCCATACAGACTGATTAGGTCAGAGAGGAACGAGCTTAGGCAATAGCTTCCTTAGAGTGGCCTACTGCCTCTCTGAACCAGGCAGGCTTAAAGGTGACCCCCAGTCACACCTTCTACCTGACTTGACATGCAGAGCAAGGCTAACCACCCCTGTCAACCTGTGAGGAGCTCCGCATC